AGCGGTGACCGGCAGCCGGCTTCCGGCGCTGGGATCATTGCATCCCCGAGAAAAAGGAATTTCTGCCCCTCTCCTCCCCGCAGCACAAACCCTCACGGTGCTAAATCCATGCATTCCTCATCACACACATAATAACGTAACACAATACAGAAGCGTATTCCCACCCGGAGCGTATTCCTGCACAACTGCCAGCGAGCAGCCCGGGACCGAGCGCAGCCTCTGCCTGCAAATTAACGGCGTCACGAGCCAGGCATCGGGCAACACCAACGTGGGGAACTTGGCCTTGCGAGGGAGATTTTTTTTTTCCCCCTGCCAGACTCTTCATCTGATCACTGCACTTCCTAAGCAAGCGATTAAAGGAAACCCCTTGGAAGCTTCCCTGCAATGAGCAGCCAGGAGGGAGGGTAAAATCAGCTCTCGGGGTGCCTCAGTCACCCGAGGGTGATGCGCACAGCCGGGAGGTGGAAAGGGCCGATTCCATCTCTGGAAGAAAAACATCGGCAGGGAACGGTCTTGGCGTTTGTGGGACTGAAGGGACCTCTGTGCAAAAATCCCCGCTCCACAGCGGGCGAGCGCAGGCGGCTCCGGGCGTTGAGCAGGCACCGATTCAAGGGGAAGAGAAAGCGTTGGGTCCCCGTTCGTCACCAGCGCTCGCGCGCGGGGAGTAAAGCGCTCGGCTCCTTTCCTGCGACACCGCGTTAAAGTCACAAGAGCTGTAAGCCACGAAAGGATGCGGCAAGATAAATTCCCTCCGCTTTGGGGGAAATGGATTAGCAGAGCTACCAGGGGAGGAGGAACAACCACAGGCGCAGAAGCGGCAGAATTCACGAGCGTGCAAACCGCCGGTCGGGTCTAGGAGAGCAGGCGAAGAAGGGGATAACGACAAATTAAGATAAAGTAACATCGCGGTCATTTGGAAGGACTCAGAAGTTCTCCCGTACCACGAGGTGGAATTGGACCGCTGGGGTGTCCCCGTGCATCCAGGCGTGCTTCTGCAGGGGAAAAATGAACACAGCAGGGCCAGGCCTTGGATTTATCGACACAGAATGAGCAAAAAGCAGGTGAGGGAAAGGCAGTGACAAAACCCCAACGCCAAAACCTTGGGCTGTTTACCTGGGGGAAGGTTGGGGCATTCAGGACGGCGTTGAGGCTTAATGAGATGTGAGCGTTCAAAAGAGAGGAGACCACCTTGGTGTTCTGCCAGGCGACTGCAAGCGCGGAGACGAAGGAGCTGCCGAACTGGAACAGGTCAGAAAGCAGGAACGTTAAGCAGCTTGATCAAACCACCACAGCTTCTGACTTCATGGTTTCCTCCTTGTTTGCAGCTGAGCTGCTATGAACCCCCCCCCCCCTCCGGCTTTTGTGGTGCTACCCTCTCCCGC